TGGAACAGGCTGCCCAGGGAGGGGGTTGAGTCACCATCCCTGAAGGTGTTTAAGAGAAGGGTAGATGTTGCCTTGAAGGACATGGTTTAGTGGTGTTGACAGGGCTAGGACAAAGGTTGGACTCAATGATCTTGAAGGTCCCTTCCAACCAAAACTGTTCTATGACTCTAATTCTACGATTCTATGACTTTTGCCAGCGAGGCTTGCTCAGCATCTCCCAGTTACTTCCATTTATGCTTTCTGTGGTTTTGTGGCAGGAGGAAGAAAAAACAGATGTATCGAAAGGATTTTCATGTGTTCAAGTGTCACTCAGCTAAAGACACCATGCCCAGCCCTGCTTCTGCTGGCATTGTTGAACGGGTGGGCACTGGGGAGAGCTGCCTCCTCTTACACCAAAGCTTGGTTCCTGAAACCCCCAGAAATCAGTGGTTGTCTTTAAGAAGTCCAAAATCTTGAACCTGAACAAGAGAAGTTGAATAATAACTTTCTACCATAAATGATAACTAGATGTAGTTTGTCATTCTGCTGAGTGCAAGAGAACACATGGGACGTGCTGCAGGGGACTCCTACTGGGCTCACCAGGAAGGGGGCTCAGCCTTGGAGCTTGGCCGTGCCCGCACATGCAGTCCCCTGACAGACACCCCACAGCTCCTGAGCATCTTCTGCAAGGCAGGTCGGACATGGATGATTATTTGAATACAAGCCATTTCACAGGTTGAGAAACACCAGCCAGACTAAAAACTGACCTGAGCTAACTCTACATCAATGCAATCGAGCAAATATTTACTTGACTCAGTCAACAGGGTGACTCTGTGGCTAATTTCTCTACTGGTATACAGATTTAATTGAACTTCCAGCTTCAAGTCAAAACAGCAGCAGCTATGTCAGCCCTGGCTTACCGAAATCCTTCCCCTTGCATACTATGTCAGAGAAGTTTCTGTTCAAAGGGAAAAAAGTAACAGGGATCTCTACTTCTCATGCTCTGCAAACCTGGAGGGACACCAGCTTGCTTGTGATCATGTGGTTTTCTGATATAGAAAAGCCTTGAACTTTTTAAGAAAGCAATTTGTGAAAATATTTTTTTCCTCTGAATCTAAGTATTCTTTCTCTTTTTACTTCCCCACAACTATAGATACTCAAGGAGGAGAATGCTCTGACCAAGGCAGAGCTCTGGGCACAGAAGTACCAAGATGCTCACCCTGTCTGGTTAGGGAGTTTCTCAGCGTTCCTAGTTGTCACCAGTCCCGACTATGCCAAGGCTCTGCTGTCCAGAGGAGGTGAGGACATGATGCCTTCAGTTGTAGAGCAAATTTCAGCTTGCAAATTTCCTATGCAAGCCTAAAAGTTCACAGCCAGGCAGGGTTTCGTAGACAGGTTATCTTGCAGAAATCATCTGAAGGCATGGAAAGATATCCCTCCTTCATGCCGTGCTCTTGGTGCTTCAGGCACAGAGCTATGGGGGTGGCTGGGGCCCTTACAAATTTGGTAAATCAAACTTTTTCAAGTGCTTCTTGAAAAGTTATCTTCTTGGTGCCTGACTTCCACAAGGAGATGTCTGGGAGCTTTTTAATTAGCTCAGAACCCTGGTTCCTACTGCAGAGTCCTATCTCTAGTGCATCCGGAGAGAAGGGTGCTAAACAGTGCCATCTGGGAGGGATTAATAATTTATCGCACAGCACAGACTTTGGACTACCAGTATTGTTTATTCCAGTCCGGGCATCTGCTTTTATACATATTCCTTGCAGCTAGACCAGACAGTGTTGGTTTGTTGTGAAATACTGATGAATTCTGCAGGGATGCCACTGATTCCGCTTCATACACAATTGAAAGTGAGATCCCAGAGGGAGTTCTCAGGTGCAATCAGTGGGGTTGGTGCTACAGAAACATTTACCTTTTCTTTTTCTCTTGATTGTTTTTTGACAGATCCCAAGGATAACATCAGCTATAAACACCTTATCCCATGGATTGGTATGTATCCTCAGGGCTTTGCCTACCAGGAATGATTCTGAAATTATTCAAGAACATGCTATAAATAAACAGCCTTGTGCTTGTTCGTTGATGCAGTTATAGCTAAAAGCTTCCTGAAATTATTATTTTATTGAAAAAGGTACTAAATAATGCTATTTTTTGTGATTTGAGGAAAGGAAGTTCAGGCATAGTCCTACGTACAAAGGAGAAGCACCTACAGGTCCACAGATAGCAGAGGGTGGTGATGGGAGAAGCTCAGATTCAGTGGAGGACGAGTGAAAAATGCATCAGCTGATCTGAACTTCTCGGCTCCAGCAGTGTTGGTGTTTCTTTTTGGAGGCAGCACTGTGTCACTTTGGTGAACCAGGTTCTGCTCAGCCCCAGGAACCTTGGAGCTGATGGTGATACATTCTCATAGCAGCTCAGACAGTCGTTTTAACGTTCCTTGCAGGCAGAGGCTGTGTCCACAGGCAGGTGAAAGCAGCCTGCTTGTGCCCAGCAAACATGCCTTGCCTGTGTTTCCCCAGGGAAAGGGTTGCTGATCTTACATGGGCCAAAATGGCACCAACATCGAAAACTCCTGACTCCTGGGTTTCATTACGACATCTTGAAACCATACGTGGCCCTGATGGCAGAGTCTACTAACGTGATGCTGGTAGGACTCATATCTGATGCTCCCTCTCTCTGCCTTGTTTTCTTTCCCCTGATGCTGACTGTTTAGTAGGTAAATGCTGGAACAGGGTTTTCTTGCAGTGCCCTTACTCACAACCCAGTAATGGTAAGGACAGGCTGTAGCGGTCGAGGCTTCTGAGCCACCACAAACCCCTGTCCATGGGCTGGAAAGAATGAGCTCTGCAGGGACTATGGCTCTGGTACTGCTTTGGGTTCTGTGGCTAAAGCGTGGGATTGATCTTACTGCTGTCCCTAAAGTGTGCATAATCTCAATCCCAACTGCAACTTCTTATAAGGTGTTACAGTAAATGAAGTAAATAAAGGTTCACAATAAATCCCAAAAGTGTAAAAGTTTGAGCTGATCTATACTGTGACCCAAGTTTAAAGGGAATCATTTGCTGTCAACGTATACCCATGGCTGTATGGCAATCCCTGCCTTGAGTAATACACAATGAAACTCCAGTGTTGGGCCATCTATCCATGCTGGGCACGGTGGAAACTAGTGTGAATTACAGGTGAGGGACACCAGGCTTTGTACATGTGGACCGGCAGGAGTCTGGGTACAGAATCTATTCCTTCTCCTTTGCCTCCCTTCATCTAACCTCCCCAACAGGTCCACAAGGGTCCTGGTTGTCCTGTCTCCCATCAGCCCAGAAAGCAGCCAGGAGCCGGGGGCTGGAGAGGCAAGAGAGCTTTTGCAATGCACACTAGTGCCTGGCAGGTTATAATTCCTTGCAAACGATGCAAAATGCCTATTGTGGGAGCCCATGCCACCAGGTGGCAGTCGTGGTATGTGCTAAGGACATAAGTCTGCCTGTTCCTCAGCCTGGTTTCACACTGTGGGAGCTCAGATGTGGCTGTGCTCATCCATGTCCTTCCTTTCTCAGCTATCGTGGTATGTGCTAAGGACATAAGTCTGTCTGCCAGTTCCTCAGCCTGGTTTCACGCTGTGGGAGCTCAGATGTGACTGTGCTCATCCATGTCCTTCCTTTCTCAGCTTCTGAGTCCAGTAGTTCCTTACAGAGAGACAGAGGATTCAGCGTCATTTCATGCCTGCCAGGCAAGAGAGACACTAATTATAGTTTCTCTAGGGATGCTCTACGGGAAGGGTTGAGCAAGGGGGTTAGAGAGCGTCTGTCAGTGTTCAGCGGCCAGCCCAGCCCTAACCCATGACAACCTCCTGTATGATATACTAGAAAAACGCAGTGAGAGAGAGCTCATGGGATGGAAGCTTGCATCCTAGACACCAAAGGCACCAAAGTCATATGTGCTTGTGAGAGGGAGGCAGAAAATGCAGACTCCGTGAAGCCCAATGCCGGCATACCCTGCTCTTGCGTGAGAAACACACTGCACCCTAGGAAATACTTTGGTGATATATCCTCTCACCCAAAAATGCACCAATCATGGGCTTCTCCAGGGTGCCTTTGCCCCAGGGTAGGGTGTACCAGGGCTCACTGCTACAAGGGTTTGAGAGTAGCAGCTGCTTGAGACAAATCACGTATTAATCATCCCGCTCTTGGCTTTCCTTCTCCAGGATTTTGATGACAACAAAGAGATCCTCTTCTTTTTTTCCATTTCTCTGGGATGGATCACTAGCTGAGCACTTATTTAACTAGAAGATGAACACAGATCATGCAGAACTGCCCTTTGCCTTCTCATTTCAATCTCCTTTGTGCCCTAGGATAAATGGGAGAAGCTGATCACAGATGGGAAACCAGTGGAGCTCTTTGAGCACGTCAGCTTGATGACTCTTGATAGCATCATGAAATGTGCCTTCAGTTATCACAGCAACTGCCAGACAAGCAGGTCAGTGCTGGCTGACCCAAATGCTGGCAGGAAGTTTGCAGCTTCGAGGAGAGGCAGGCAAATTGTTCACCATGATGCTCCCGAATTTACAAACATCTGCCATTCTCCTCTCCCCAGGAAAAACACCTACATCCAGGCTGTCTATGACTTATGCCAACTGGTGAACCAGCGCCTCCGCATCTTCCCCTACCACAATGACATCATTTACTGGCTCAGCCCACACGGATACCGGTTCAGGAAGGTCTGCCAGCAGGCTCATGACCACACAGGTATTCCCTGCCTCCATCCTCTCCCAAAGCTTTCGAGCAGGTTGGCTGGTGGCTGACCACAGGCAGTCAAGTTGCCTTCTTGCCCATGCAGTGATCCTGCCTGGAGGCTCAGAGCCAAGATAAAAGCAGAGAATCAGCTTGTAGCAGTGGTCCGATCTAGGCGTGAGGCAAGGGGGTCTGACAGGTCCCACATTACTACACTGGACTAATGGAGGAACTCCCCTCTAGGAGCGCTCCTGTTAAATGACCAGAGACTGTTGAGACGAGGGAAGGATGCTGCAGGCAAGAGCAATGCAAGGAAATTTTTTCCTTTTAAGTCTTGGCATGATTTTTATGCAGGAGGGGTGGTTAAAATAGGCTGAGGAGTCTGCGGGGGACAAAGAAGTTCACAGAAAAGCACGACAATGTGCACAGCATTTGTTGCCCTGCTGCTGAAAAAGCCAAACTGCCTGGGATGCAGAAGCACATGTGAAATGCATCCTGAACTGAGAGGTGGTCACCCACCTTGAGTGAGCTTTGCTTTGGTAGGACAGTTTTGCAGCTTAGCATCTCCTGACTTTTTTTTCACAGACAAGGTGATCCAAGAACGAAAGGAGTCCCTTAAAGATGAACAGGAATTTGAAAAGATCCAGAAGAAGAGACATTTGGATTTCCTGGACATTCTACTGTGTGCCAAAGTGAGTGGTGAGGAGTGATGTTGGTAGCCTCTATTGGGAAATACAGCATGAAGAGGGTTTTCATAGTCTTGCTGAGGCAGGGATAAAGGGATTTATAAGCTAAGGAAAAGAGGCCCTGAATTCAGTCTAAACAGAGGCTGATTTTGTTTGTATGTATCTCAGGGGCATCACTGCCCCCTTTTTCAATAGCTGAAGGAATATAATGTCTCCTCTTGGGATATTGTATTTTATATGTATGTGTAGGCTACCATAATTTTATTTTTGTATATATATATATGGGCTACTGAAAGTGTCTTTGGCTGTTAGGATGAGAATGGAGCTGGACTGTCTGATGAGGACCTGCGTGCTGAGGTGGACACGTTCATGTTTGAGGGCCACGACACAACAGCCAGTGGGATCTCCTGGCTCTTTTACTGCCTGGCATCGCATCCTGAGCACCAGACACGGTGCCGGGAGGAGATCCAGGAGATCCTGGGGCAACGGAAGACACTTCAGTGGTAAGGCTGCACATTTCCTTAGCTGATAACTTTTTTCCCTATCACCTGTATGAGCAATGTCTTCAAGACTTAAACGCTGAGGTGCTGAAGGTTGCTGCACGCACAGAGACTTCATATGATGGAGCAGATACTGCATCCCGCAGCTAAATCTGCCTCCCTGAGCTTCAGGGCTTCAGGGCTCTTATTGCCAGGGCAGACACAAGAAAAAAACATCCCAGGCCAGGAGGGACATGCTGAATGCTACACAAAGACCTGGGCCACTGATGTTGCTCTTGCTCTCTCCTGTTTTCTCACCACGGGACGTTGTAGTTGTGGCTTTTCACCTTTCGCTGTCACTTTGCTCTTGAGCTTGTTCAGAGGTTGTTAAGGTTGTTCAGAGGGGCCCTGCAGTCCCCAGCTTGCAGCAGCCCATGGCTGGACATTGGAGGTCCCTCTGTACACCTTTGTCTATTGCAAGGGAGTTTGCCCTGGGGGGCTGATGGCTCTGGGGCAAGGGGTGTCCTGGTAAAAAGGAGTGAGGGGCTCTGTCTGCCTCTGTCCTGGCAGGGAGGACCTGGGCAAGATGACTTACAGCACCATGTGCATCAAGGAGAGCCTTCGCCTTTACCCACCGGTGCCCGGCGTGTCCCGGCAGCTCAGCAAACCCATCACCTTCCCTGATGGACGCACCTTGCCAGAAGGTCTGTAAATCCCATTCCAGCTTCACAGAATTGTGCTTGCAGACATCAGCCATGTCCTCACTGCCTGCTGCGGAGCGAAGGTGACAGCCCCATCTCTGTGTCCTGCTCCTTGCCAGCACAGATGCTCAGAGAGGATCATGTAGATGTTGGCATCCTGTTGACAGACTGAGGTCCAGGCTGGATAGTAGCATCCCCATGACATCCTACCACCACCGCTATAGGGCAGCCATGCCTGTGCCCCTTGTCCTCCTGGCCAAGGACAAGCTCGTGGTCCACCCATTTTGGCAAACTGCAGGCGCAGGGGTACAGGGACTGGTCCCATCCCAGTTTGTGGTGTAGGAATCGCCCTCTGCTGCTCCTTTCCTTCTCTGGTTTGGCACACAAGCAGGCATTGGCGGGGGAATGATGTGCCTACGGTGCTGGGGCCTTCCTCATTTACACCTTTTGCCTGCTTACAACTAAACAAATGGAAAATGTTTAGTTTTCTTTGAAGCTAGTGACAAAACCCTCATTGGTTTCCAGTTGACAGATGAGACCATGATGATTTAGACAGACTTCTGGGTGAGCACACTGCAACCTTCCCTTTAGTTTCTTTATCATTGAACCCTTTTCTCCTCAATTGCTTTACAGGCAGCATTGCCGTGATAAGCATGTACCTCATTCACAGAAATCCTGCAGTATGGAAGGACCCTTTGGTGAGTTTTCTGTTGCCCCTCTAATGATTTTTGCCCTTTTTTTTTATACTGTGCCTCTTCCAATGTACCCTTCACCTGTTATCAGGAGAGAAGAACCCTCCCTTGTTCCTGAACATCTTTGCCCAGACAGTGGTGTTAGGGCTGGACGCTGCCAAAAGAGTAAGAAAAAGTGCTCCAGAGAGCTTGTTTTATTAACAGGCAGAAAGATGATTTTTTTTTTCGCTCAGCTTACAGGTGGAGAATTGAATCCTGGCTCCCTGGTTTTCATCATATCTTGTCTTGTTTATCTTGGCAACACCATTGCCAGGCTCAGTGGAAAGCAAGGGAGTCTGGTGTATGAGTTTCAGTCCATCTCAGAATGAATTGTCTCTTCAACAGTGTTGTTCAGAAATTATGGGGTGTTAACATTTCTGAAGATACCAGGCAGTACCGTATTCGTTAAATAATCACTTTTTTTCTTGCTGTGTATTCTTCATTTTCAGGTGTTTGACCCTTTGCGGTTTTCCCCAGAGAACATCTCTGGCAGACACTCTCACGCCTTTCTGCCTTTTTCTGCTGGATTGAGGTAAAGTTTATTGAACACTGAGGTAATAGTTGGGAGAAAAAAACATGCATCACTAGAAACTGTTCACCTTAAGAAGTGTGTGATAACTGTATAGAGAGTGCTTTCAGATGCCGTCACCTGAAGTCCTGAAGTCCTGGCCCTGCAGTGTTAAACAGTTCTTGAGCATACTGCAAGCATTTGTACCACAGAGAAGTTCTAATTACTAGCTGGCAAAATGGGAAGGAAACATCTCTGGACCCCTCCTGGGGACAGGGAACTGGGTCCCAAAGCTGCAGAGCATCCTGCTGGCATTGCACGGGGAGCCTACAGCATCCGGGGCTCACCTGCTCTTCTCTCCTTGATGCAAAGACCCACTCCCACACCCTTTTATTCTCCCTTCTCTGCTCCCAATCCTTCCCTTCACCCTGGGCTCACCCACCAAACCAAACACATCGCAGGGCCTCCTTCTTGGACACCCACCACCTTGGCTCTGCTTCCCCATCACCCCTCCTTTTCTGTGCTCACCTGAACACGCATCTGGGAGCTCCTGATGCTCCCCTAGATTCCACCTGCTCAGCCTGTGCCCCTGATTTGCTACCCAGAACACTGCCTGGGGTCCCCAGGGCTGCAGAGGTGAAGGGTTGTGTGCCAGTGTGAGAGGGCTGGGATCCAGCCATGGGAGTTTTCTGTGCCCAGCACTGAGATGGAGTGGCTGAACTGCTCTATTTTACCCCAGGAACTGCATCGGGCAGCAGTTCGCCATGAATGAGATGAAGGTGGCACTGGCCTTGACGCTGCTGCGCTTCGAGCTCTCACCTGACCCGGCGCAGCCTCCCTGCAAAATACCTCGGGTCATCCTTCGCTCCAAGAATGGAATTCACCTGTATCTAAAGAAAATCCGCTAATGCTGGAAAATGTCCTGCCTTCGCCAGAGGGAGGCACCAAGCAGATGACGGGATAATGTTTCTCTGTGGCAAAAGGTGCAGGGCAGGATTTGGGGATGAGGATTCTTGAGTTCTGCACTTCTTCCACCACCTGAAAGCCCTTTTCAGCCTGGGCCCAGGTAGCCTGGATGGCACTGCACAGACCCATTGCCATCTCCTCCTCCAGCAACCATCTCGGAGCAGCCAGACATGGCCATGCTTCTTTGCTGGCTGCTCCCTTGCCCTGCCGTAAGGGCTGGTCTGGTCTGGGAACATCTGCAGGTGCCACCAGCATCCTCCTTACCAAATCCTGCCTTTGCACCCATGTCATGGCCAAATCCATGACTGTTCCGTCATCAGCACCTTCCTCAGTGCCTAGAGGTCAGCCCTTCGCCTCTGCAGCAGGGACAGCCCATGGCAGACCTCTGTCTCTCTCCTCTCTCTCAGTCTGTCTCTGTTTTGTTGAAAGCACTGATGTCAGTTTGGGCTCCGAATTTCTACCTAAACTGCAAAATAGTCTGTAATTTTTCTGTTAGTAAATCAGTAATTATTCCTGTAACAGCAGCTGTGTCATTTTTTATTGCGGATGCTTACCCACTTCATCACAAATATGATGTAAAAGCCCTTTAGAAATGGGAGACGGAGAGTAAACCCATAGAATCCTAGAATCATAGAATGTTAAGGGTTGGGAGGGACCTCTAGAGATCATCTAGTCCAACGCCTCTGCCAGAGCAGGATCCCCGAGGGGAGCTACACAGGAACGCGTCCAGGCGAGTTTTGAAAGTCTCCAGGGAAGGAGACTCCACCCCCTCTCTGGGCAGCCTGTGCCAGGGCTCTGTCACCCTCACAGTAAAGAAGTTTCTCCTCATGTTGAAGTGGAACTTCCTATGTTCTAACTTAAACCCATTATTTCTTCTTCTGTTGCTGGGCACTACTGAAAAGAGATTGTCCCCTTCCTCTTGACACCCACCCCTCAGGTATTTGTATACATTAATAAGGTCCCCTCTCAGCTATCTCCTCGCAGCTCTCTGTTGGACTCTCTCCAATATGTCCCTGTCTCTCTTGAATTGGGGAGCTCAAAACTGGACACAGTATTCCAGGTGTGGTCTCACCAGGGTAGAGTAGAAGGGGAGGAGAACTTCCCTAGACCTGCTGGACACACTTTTCTTAATGCACCCGAGGATCCCTTTGGCCCTCTTGGCCACAAGGGCACATTGCTGACCCATGGACAACTTACTGTCCACTAGGACTCCAAGGTCTTTCTCCATGGGGCTGCTTTCCACAAAGACGTCCCTTAATCTGTCCTGGTACCTGGTGTTATTCCTC